CAGAAGGAATTCTTTGACACATTAAATGAAAACAAGCAGATGTTATATTTAGAATTTTTTTTCTCCTCAGAGTTTTACAGTCTTTGAGATACTTGGTTACTCTAGATAAAGCCAGTCAACATCATCAGAAACAGATATATTTTACCAGAAGATGCTTAACCTGACCCACATGAACCTGGGGAATGACAATGACTTTAATTTGCTTGTTCCCTAACCAGATGTTCCTGCCAGCATTTGTCTTCATTGGGCTGGAACAGGATGACTGCTGTGGCTGCTGCGGCCACAAAAACTGCGGCGAGAGTTGCGCGGTAGGTCCTCTCACTGTGGTGGTGACAATGACTCCTAAGATGTAGCTGTGGTGCTCTTGGATCACTTCTGGTGTCTCTCCTTTCCCTAGATGCTTTCTTCTGTACTGGCCGCTCTCATCGGAATTGCAGGATCTGGCTACTGCGTCATTGTGGCAGCCCTGGGCTTAGCAGAAGGACCATTGTGTCTTGATTCCCTTGGCCAGTGGAACTACACCTTTGCCAGCACCGAAGGACAGTATGTAATTGTTCCCTACCTGGCCACACATTCTTATCCACATGTGTGCAGTAGCAACCCTATCAAACTCAACAGGCTTCCATCACCCACCGCTCATCCCGTGTTTGTTCCCACTTGCTCAGCCATAGTTTAGGCAGTAGCTGTCCAAGGATGGACAGCCAGTCCCTGACATGGGCAAGTTCTCAGTGCTTTTTAGTAGAGTCACTGATTCCTCATAATAACCCTTGGAAGTGACTTCCACTATTACTCTCCTACTTTACAGATGAGGAAACAGAGGCACAGAGAGATGAAGTCATTTATCCAAGGTCACGTTGCTAGGAAGTGGCAGTGAGGATTAAAATGCAGGCAGTCTGGCTGTGGAGTTTGTGTTCATATAGTGTATGTGTTATACCAGAACAATTGGCTAATTAAATGTAATACATCTTACTATTTTATAAGAAAGTATTATAGAACCCTTATATAAAAAGAGTGGTAACTATATGAATTTAACCAAAGCCCAGGGCAAAGCCTACCCCTACCCCCATACACACACACACGTATAACATAAAAACTA